AAGCTGTACATGTTTCTTGATAATGATGGAGTTGATCTTTTTTGATACCATATCTTAAATTAACCTACAGAATACAAAGTATAAATCATTTAAACTAATGAGTAATAGGTAAGTCAAGTAATAAATTATTTTAGTTTTTACTCTAGAATATGGTATTCCTGTTGTTGTATTAAAAGCTGGCATTAATCTATACCCTAAATCTTTGGCCATGGCTAATAGTTCTCCATTGTACCATTGCAAATGGTTAGAATTTTCTTTAAAATGTTGTGCAAAAATGTGTCCAGACAATAAGCCTCTAAAATATAAAACAAACAATAATTAAATATGAACAATTAAAATATAATAAAATACAATTAGATCTCATGGTATTTTTTTATTTACAATAAAGTAACAAATGAATAATTCTTATAATATTAACAGTATTTTATAATTGATCATTGATTAGTTATTAAATAAATGTTATGTATTGACATACCTAGATGGACAAATGTATTATTAAATTATATATTAACACCTTAATAATTGTGTAAGTATAATAGATACAGATTAAAACATTTTTTACTCACCCCAAAACTCTAATATTAATTTCAAATACTGATACAACGACATCTCTATCAAACGTCACACCTGTCACCACTTTTGAAACAGCACGATCAAACTCTGGTAAATCACCAAGGACAACCAGTGTATCCATCGTATCAATTAAAGTTAAAGAGTAGTTGCCAAGTACATCGTCCATGTCACCGCGGTTATTCTCTTTTGTTCGCCATCGCCCTTTACAACTTAATGGCATGAGTTCATCAGCAGGATATGCATGTTCCATATAATTTGTATATGCATGATAGAACATTTCTTTTGCTTTTTCCATCAGACCAAGTTTCTCTTCTTTGCTCATGAACGAACCAGAAAAAGGTTGGTCATGAGCAGTGGCAAATGCCACTAGGGAGATTAAACCTAACGTCTTTATCATGGCGATATTTTAATATCTGTCAACTTAATTTAATTAGAAATTTGGAAAACATATTGAATTATAAATTATGAAAAGTACAAGACTTTTTATAAAATTACAACGCACAATGAATAAATAAAAATAAGACACTTCACAATGTTTCAGATAAAAAAATGCAGATACAAGAGGCACAATACAACATGTTTAAATTACTACAAATAGGTACGTATACAAATTAATAATTATAATTTATAATATTTATTTGATACATTTTTTTTTGTTGCCCCATTTTCATAGTAATAGTAAATGTAAATCCTAAATTGTAATACGTGAATACAAGATAAGAATGTTACTATTATTAGTCAGTGTAGCCATATTTAATAATAAGAGTTATAAACACTTAGATAGATAACAATATACTGTGGCGCGGTTACGCGGTGTACGGTAAACTACAATATAATCAACAAACTAGATTCCTATAATCCCAAAACACCACCGGGATGACCATACTGAACTATAGATGAACTAGAGAACTATGGAGATCTATCTATATATTATTAATAGTAGGACAGCAGCCGAGATCCAGGACTAATATTGCTTTATAGGTCTTCGGTATGATCAGTGGTGGGTACCCCTCCCGCCCCCTATCACCCACGGAACCGCAGAAGGCCGAAATATAAAACACCCGTACATTATCATTTATCAAGTTGATTTTGGACTTTGGTCACAGAATAGATTGGTGTTTATGCCATGATAACCTAAGCCGATCAAAAGACGCGGAAGTCCCCCCTCCCACCCACCTATGAGCGTCACTGATGAAATTTATTATTTGTTCATTGTTGTGAATCGAGGCGTGATCATTTCATACTTAATACCTTATACCTAATACCTTATACCAATAACTCAATACCGAAACATATTTCAATTCGTCAGGTTTGTTTCCCGAGTTTCAGTTTCGGTGATTGTGTAAACATTTGCGAATTGCGATTTGCGCGACTTCGGACTTAGCGACTGTGAGTATTATTGTTTGTAATTATTTTATAATATACGTATTCTTAAGTAAAAATTCTAAGTCAATTACAATTGTATTCCATTGTTATTACATTAGAAGTGAAATGGATACTTTAATAGAACAGCAGCGTCGTTACCACGAAGAACGAGAACGGTTAGTTGATGCTATGGTTAAAGAAATGCTGTGGAAAAAATCTACTACCAGAGATATTATTAATTCCGAACACAGACAAAAATTGTTACTAGATCAATATATGGAAGGAACTAATAAACTAAAAGAGTTTTATGAAGATAAAGACGGTTTACGCAAAGAGGAAATTACATCCATCACTGGTCCAAATGAGTTTGCTGAATTTTATTTTCGTTTAAAAGGCATTAAAGATTTTCATAAGAAACATCCAAATGAAATATCGGTTCCATTATCTGTTGAGTTTGAAGATTTGAACAACCTCCGTGAGAATCCTTCAGAGGAAATGACCAACATGGTAGATTTTACCGATGAAGAAGGTTATGGAAGATATTTGGATTTACATGAATGCTATGAAAGGTATGTGAATTTAAAAGGAGTTGAAAAAGTTGATTACATTACTTACCTATCCATATTTGATCATTTGTTTGATATTCCTAAAGATCGTAAAAATTCAGAGTATAGAAAATATGTAGATATTTTATTGGAATACTTGCATGGTTATTATTTACGAATAAAACCTTTACATGATGTTGACAATGAAATGGATACTGTTCGAATTGAGTTTATAAATCAATGGGAAGAAGGTACTTTTCCAGGTTGGCCAAAAGACACAAGTAGTGCTTTAGCCAATGTTGGAGCACACTTAGATTTGTATGCCTTTTCTTCTTGGGAAGAATTAGCCTCTCTTGGACTAGATCGTTTGAAATCGGCTTTGATGGCATTAGGATTGAAATGTGGTGGAACTCTGGAAGAAAGAGCTCAGCGTTTATTTTCTACCAAAGGGAAAACTTCATTGGATCCTTCTTTGTTAGCTAAAGGTAAGCCAGGAAAAATGAACCGCACTAAAGAACAAGAAAGGCAAAAAGAATTAGCAATGCTTGAGGCGCAAGTATATAGGTTCTGTGAACTCCTAGCCGAACAGAGATTAGCAACTAAAGAGAATGTTCAAAGAAGACAAGCTCGAACTGAAGGAGAACGTGATGATTCTGAAAATGAGGCAAGTGCTTCAGAGTCTGATGATGAACAAGGAGAAGATATCCCTTATAATCCAAAAAATTTACCTCTTGGTTGGGATGGAAAGCCGATTCCATATTGGTTATATAAGCTACATGGATTAAATATTAGCTATAATTGTGAAATTTGTGGTAATTTTACATATAAAGGTCCCAAAGCATTCCAGCGACATTTTGCTGAATGGAGACATGCACATGGCATGCGATGTTTGGGTATACCAAATACTGCACATTTTGCTAATGTCACACAAATTGAAGATGCACTTGCACTTTGGGAAAAATTAAAAACAATGAAACACGATGAGCGGTGGCAACCAGAGAATGAGGAAGAATTTGAAGATTCTCAAGGAAATGTAGTCACTAAGAAAACTTATGAAGATCTCAAGCGACAAGGCTTATTGTAGTATTTTAAAAAAACAATTAATAATTTTTTTGTTTATAATGTATTGAATATAATTTACAGACCATGATTTAATTTTAAAATATTAATTAAACCTAAAATTGTATTTTATAAAATACAACCAGAAAGTTTTTATTTACTCTTATTTACTTGATTTTTTTATTAAAAATATTATTTAATTCATATTATATACTCTGTCTAGCGAGAGAACTTGCCGATTCTGTGCATCCCCCAGCGTCACCTTGCTATCAAAACTGGTGTTCTCTCGCTGAACAGACTAGTATAATAGTTGAATACTGAGTGGTTAGTATCAAAAGTGTTATCATTACTGAAATGTAAAACTGTAATATAATGATGCCTTTTATCATAATATATTTTTTTTAAGATTAATTGGGTATTAAGATTAGGTTAATTAATAATAGTATAACATACCGATTATCATTTGGTTTAGAAAAACGATATGTAAGCAATATAAAATATATAAAAGAATATTTTTTCATCTTTTACTTAATTAATGAAGTAGCTTATGAACCACAAGTACAACTGACAAAATAAAATTAACTTAAATTTCAAACATTGCTATGCACATAAAAATTTAAATGCATTCAATCTTCAATCTGACGTGATGTAAGTTTTATCAGCTGCTCTTGTTTTATATGCATGGATGACTATTGTTGGTTGACAACTTAACATTAGTTGTGTTGTAGTAGCATTCATTGATGTAGAATCACACATTTTAATTAGTTGATTTAGATTTATCTCTATTCTATTCAACATATGAAGTGACCAGGACAGCTGGCATGGGTGGGGCATCATTCTCTGTATTGACTACTGGTAGTTGATTGAGTAGGGGAAACAGTTGTGTGTGAGATACTTACTGATCAAAACCAGTCGCTTCCTTGGTCATCTCTTCTTAGGTTGAATAAAATTTACTTACAATTATTTATTAATTGCAAGTGAATATTTTGTTCTATATTGCCATTTATTTATTTTAGTATAAAATGGAACCGGTTTTTGTTTATGGAACACTGAAACAAAATCAGCCTAATAATTACCATCTCAATGACACTAAAAATGGCTGTGCAGTGTTTAGATCAGTCGCTGTCACGGTCAATAAATATCCCTTAGTAATTTCCACTAGATTTAATATACCATTTTTGTTACAAAATGAAGGCACTGGGAATGTAAGTAATTTTTTATACAATATTATATGTATTGAAAAAACATTTAATACTTTACTAAAAAAGTTACTTGTGGTTTTAGGAAATTAAAGGTGAAATATATGACGTTGATACAAAAATGTTGGAATATTTGGACGATTTTGAAAATCATCCAAATTTTTATGAACGACAAAAGACTCAAGTCAAATTACCAAATGCAGATATTATGAATTGTTGGATATATTTTTTACCAAACTATCCAGATAGTTATTTGGAGTTACAACGCTTTGACAATTATGACTCTTGTGGTGAACATGGACTTCCATATGTCACAAGGTATCAAAGAGATCCAGATGACAAATTATCATTTCCCAATTGGAAACCATCTAGTTAATGATATTTAAATTAATTTACAGTGAAGAACTACACTTATTGGAATAAGCCTTCAAGTTATTCAATAAAATAAAGTCATAGAGGTTTCCTCTTCTCAGTCCAATTTTTATTATTAAATCAATTAAGTGTAAAAAAAACTAAAATTAGTATTCGCACTACCCTAGTGCATTTTAAAAATAAATTCATATCACACATTGTTAGAAATACAAATTGAATGATAAATTTGTTAAAAAAAAATTATGTGTAAGTGTTATAACATAATATAATCTTTTCTATACAAAATACAGTATCTAAATTACGTTTAGGAAAAATAGTTGTTTAATATAAATTCACACTTTTTCTTTCAATTTTAATTGACTAGAAATAATAATTTAAAACTCGGTGCTTAATGTGGCCAAAATTGAATAACATTAAATCTTTTTAAACATATTTTTATAACTGATTTAATGTTACGGGACAGTTATTTATATCCATTACTTTTATTCTAAAACATTGTATATTTTGCAACACAACCAGAGCTACTTCTTCGCGTCCCAATTCATTTAATTGATCAACCAATGTACCTGAGAAGGTAATTATTAAATGTTTTATTAAGATGAAATTTGTAAATGGTTAGTTTTTGTTTATTTTCACCTATTGTTGGAGCAGGTTGAACTGTTGCCCATGTATCTATTAGTGCTAGAAAAGGACTAGTTGGTCCATTATCAAATAGTTGAACTTTTGAATCCAATCCAATGTTCAGAGCGAACAATGCCCAATCTCTTCCTAATGGGTGTACTGGATCAATGAGACGACTTAATTCTTGGCGACACATGGTATTCAGTTCTGTTAGTGGTAAACTATCCGTACAAGATAACATTGTTTCCACCTTAATTGGATCATATTAAGTGTGAATATTATGCAAGAATAAACACATAATGTGATATATAATCAATGGTATAAATATTTACCTGGTCACATCCAAATGCAATTATGTCCAATACACATTCTTTTTTTCCGGTTAATGGATTAACAACAAATGATTTGAAATCTGATGTTTTCCGAACTGAATAGAATATATCATCAACACCATAACCATGAGGCTGTAGGATATGTTCGGATAAATTTGAGGGACTGAGAAATTCTTTAATAACTTTCATTCCTGGACATGTTTCAATCAAAACCTATGATTCATATTTATAATTTAATTTTTTCAATTTTGTTATTATAAATGCAATTGAACATTGACTGTATACAAATATTAAAAAATAAAATATTTTTACTAGATTAATGGAATGCAATATTTCTTCTAGAAAATAAAAACAGGTATAACTTGATGATTTAGAACCTCGAATTTTTATTTCAATACAACCATCTTGCTCTAGGGATACCATGCACTCTATATTGCTAATACATAACACAGTACCACCGTACCATTGATATAGGTAACTGTCCATATCTTCATAATAATTGTTTTGCAAGTATCGTAATTCAACCTGAAATTAATATTTAGACATTTATTAATATGGATAAAGAATATATTGGTTAAATACTATAAATAAATAAATTTTCAATACCTGTATTCTAATAAAAATTGATGTTAAAAGTTCAAAAACTTGCGGTTGAGAACTAAGACGAATTCCGCCATAACAACAGTCAACGACATTATTACCCCAGGGTTTCCACAGTGTTTCATCTTTTTCTCTTATGATATATGCGGGGAATTCATATTCAATGTCCCCATCATTATCATACTAAAATAATAGATTCAAAGTTTAAAGATACAAGTGAGAAATAATTGCATTGTAGTTGCAATATTTCATTAAAAATACTATGATATTAAGTTGAAAATGAATAATAATTTAACATACTTGGACACAAATTTTCATTGTTTCCAATAGTTGAAGTACTGACATGGCATCATAATGAGGAAACATGATCTGAAAATCATTTGCTTGATACGAACCAGACATACGTGTCTGACTGATCAAAAAGTCTACTGAAAACAGTGTACCAATTATACTTGATCCAAACCAATGTGGTGATATAACAATCAAATCTGGTTGTAATCCTGATTTTAAGAATAATACCTGGGAAAAATAATAAACAATCATTTTAATCTTTTAACTCTAATGAATATTGACCAAACATACTTCACCAAGGTTTTGCAGCTGGATAAGTAATATATTTAAATGTTGAATAGTAGCCAGTGGATTTACTTCAAGATGAATAGTATCACAGAATGTCTTCCAAGACAATACTGGAAACGGATTTGCAATTTTTCTTAATTTAGGTAAAAAGTTCTGTACGGCTTCACAAAAACCACTCATTCGTGGAATGTTCTGAAAACATTTAATAAAATAAAGAAATAATAACATTCTCAATACACGTATAATTTCATTACTAAAAATAAATAATACTGAAAAGATTAAATATCACATTGAGAATACCTAAAACAACTCAAAAGTAATAAACTATAGTGAAATCCCTAAAATAATAAAATACAACAATTTGTGTATTTTTTGTAAAACACATTTATGTGCTATTAAAACTTAATTGCACACAGTGAAATTTCAAGAAGTGCACACCATTAATAATCAAAAAATTAAAAAAAAAAAAAACTGTGCACTATTAAATATAATTTAAACCTCAATTCTTGTAACTGAAGACTTAGTGTTATAATAGTTTTCTCTAGGTGGGTCATCAAGTAATTTATAACCACCACGGGTGAAGAATGACAGCTTATTTAACCTGCCATTACTGTTTGCACCGCAAATGATATCACCTCGATAGTATCCCTGATAGAAAACTTGAATTTAACCATTTTGTTTTATTAATTATGGTGTGCAAAACAATATTATGTAAATTGAATTATTATTCTATATTTTTTTACTTTGATTACCATTAAACTTATTAGAAATACTTACAAAATGAAGTCGTTTTTTACTTATACTAATTGCTTCTTTAAAGTTCTTCACACTTAATGAATCAACTGCCATTATATTAAAAAGTACTAATTGTTCGTACATTTGAAATACATGTCCATACTCATCTTTCATAGTTTTAATTAATTGGTCAGGTTGGTGACATATCCTCTGGCCATTGTGTGTAGCAACAATTATCACAGGCACTAAATGATTTGAAATACCATTCTTACCTACAAAAAATAATGTACTGATTTTAGTATAATTAAAAATAATATTTCTTATACTACAAACTTATTGGTTCTGTGGTTTGAAGTCTTGCTTGAACAAAACTAAGCCAATAACGTACAGTTTTCAAAATTTCTGTAGAAGACTGTTGCTCATTATAAACAATAACAACCACTTTGTTTGGTGTATTTTGAATTACATGATGATAAGAATTATAGTATGTATCTTCCCCAGAGAAGTCCCAAAATGTGCATTCGTTAATACCCGATAATTTTTCCTATAAAATATATTAACATTAACATAGTTGCTTAATGCTTTGATAAAAAAAGAAGTGAACATGTTCTGTTTTAAACCTTTTGAACTGCTATACCCTTAGTACCGTCGTGTTTATAATAATTTGAAGTGTTTGTAGTATTATATTCTGTAAGACTCATCTCATTTCCATTATTGCACTGACCCTGAGACGTATTAGTTCCTATTTAAAATATCTATGAGTGGTATTGTAATAAAATTATAATTGATTAGATGTGCACTTACTATTGGTGTTAATTGTTCTTAAAGTATTTCGTGATTTGTCAAGAAGCATCGAAAACAGACCTAGTTTCATCAACCGTATAATTGATGACTTTCCAGCATTGGAATATCCAAAAAACAACAAATTTGTGTTTTGTATGTATTCATGACTTATTAGTAGTTGTTGAATGTAATTTTCTCTTGCACTATTCTGATGTAAAAAAAAATAATAAAAATAATAGTAAACAATTTCTCAAAAAAAAAAAAAAAATTTGAAAGTGTAGGCTAACAGTGTTTAATTTGGTAAATATTGATACTATTTCTTTTTGATTATTTTTAATAGCAGTTATTTCAGGTTTAATGTTGTCTACACTACGTTGCTGAGGATCACTTCCTGCAATGCATAAATACCTAAAGCAATTTAAATGTACATTTTAATCAAATAATATTTATTAATATTGTCACAGAAGTAGTAGAAGTAGAATGTTTACCTAACAATTTCAACATGTCCATATCTGGTAGCTATATGCAATGGATACAATCCTCTATCATTAGGGTACTCAAAACCATGACCCATGTTTATTATTGTTTCCACAACATTTAACAAACCCTCTTGTACAGCAACATGAATAGGAGCATTACCTTCCTAATGTAAAAACTTATATTCACTTATTTTTTCTTAAAATTATAGAAAAATGAATTTACATTATTAAAAATGTCTAAATTTCCAGGTGCATTGTGAAGTAAATATATCGCAACATTTTCATGTTTTTCTTTTATAGCAACTAGCAGTGGTGTATCCAAATTTTCATTAACTACGTCTGCTGTTCCACTGTGTTCCATTAATTTCATCACACATTCTAAGTAACCATAACGACATGCTATATGCATCGGTGTATCTCCATTCTGTAACAGTTACAAAAGTATAAGTTTTAAGTATTGATGTCCAAAATTTGCAATTCAATTATCGTTATTACATGGTTTTGTTCGCAGGCAACTTGGGGCTGTCGGAACAATAGACTATTGATCACAGAAAGATTATCGTTTCTAGCAGCCAAATGCAGCGGAGTGTTTCCGTTTAAGTCTTTAGCGCACACACCTGTACCTCTGTCTAATAAAATGTCGACCACATGCTTAAAACCGCGGGCAGACGCCACATGCAGGGCGGTTTGTCCTTTCTAAACACATCATTATTGTCCATACAATTAAGTTGGTAATTTTAATATAATGACCCACCATCACCGTGGTAGGTTTAAAATAATTAACAGAGTTTACGTTATTTTCGTCGAAAATGTCCTGGTCATCACAGTTGCTGATCAGCGACTCGGCCTAATTGTTCGTCAACTTCTTCCAGCGACTGTAGCAGCGACGACATGGTTTTGACAGCCACCTATTCACTCGGTCACGAACTTTGTTCACAAAATGTACGACATCATTACGTGATGTCCATTCGACCACAAAAGTTGCAAGCAAACACCGGAAACATACCTACTGCATTTCCGCAAATAGTTATACGAATTATAAATTACAATAATGACAATATTAATATGTTTAAATTAATGTTCATCGTTTCTAAACCGTATTACCGATTATTTATTAATTAAATAATAATAATTATTATTACTCATTATAATCATTTTTATAGGCACTAGCATAATATTATCATATAGTTTATCTCTTTTCTATGGGTTCCAGCCAAGGTGGATATATATATATATATCCACCTTGGTTCGAGCATGATAAAGAAAATATATTTTCCAATATTCTTTATCATGCCACCACGGGCTTAGAAGATATCTTTCAAGATCGTGCATGCTACTATATCTATTATTTTATACTCTCTTCAATATTTTCAAACAATAATACCAATTGGCGATCGCCTTGGCAATTGGGAAGCCCATAATGTTCCAGAAAATAAACGAAGCGAACGTTAGTAATCCATAAAGTAAATATAACAGAAAAATAAAATTATAGAAAGCAAAACTTTAAAAAAAATAATAATTGGAAATTAACGTTCCAGAATTGTTTTTATAATATAAAAAATAAAATAATATACAGAATTTTAATTCCAGATAGTCGAAAGCCTGAAACTAGAATCACAGACCAACTTTGTCTTACAAAAAGTGATAACGTAGACAATTAAATCCCAGAAAAATTAAATTCTGAAATTACCTATATTAATTATGCATATAGGTCATAGGGGGCTAAAATAGGGCATAAAATAAAATAAGGTTTACAAATAAGGAGGATTAGGGGTTAAGGCACCCCCCAAGATCTTTTTTTAAAATATTCAATATTATTATAAATTGTAGTAGGGCTTCAATCCCCCCAAATATTTGCATCTATGCCTATAGCTATGTCTAAGTCGAAACCCCTTCATTATCCTTTTTATTTATTCAATCCAACATTCCATCATCACTAACTATATCAATAACAACAGTAACATACTAACATATAAATGATCTATCTTAACTAAATAATGTTAATTATTACAATATTTTAGAAAATTATATTATAATTTATAATAGTGGTACGAAAAATAAGAATGTCGGTATGTATTAATTTATAAAAGATAAATTGTAAATGATCAATAGTTACAACTATTGAAAAATTGTTAAAAAAAATGTTTAAACTTTTAAATACTTAAAGTTTAACTATTTTAATATTATTGTGTGTAAAAAGTAGGTACCTAGTATAACTAAATCGTACATAGGTAAATGGTTTTAATTTTTAAAATATATTTGCTCGGTTTCTTCGTAAAAATTCGTATTTCGTATACAATTTCATTAAATTTTGCTTCTACATAGTACATTATACTGACCTCCATTTTACTAGCAACATGACCAATTTAATTCTTAATTCCGCCTAATAAACCACTACCACTTTCACCACCCCCAATATCGAATTTAGTATGGATTTTCCCCAACAACTTGTTCGAGAGGGGGTAACTTTTTTTTGACAAACGGTGACAATTGGTGATTGCCATAAATGATACGTATTATAATATAATAAATGAGTAGGGCGCGGATTTTTATGTAATAAAAAAGTCAAAATATGTAAATATTTATGTTGTTATTTTTGCCAAAATATGTATTAAAAATCATGAAATATTGAACAACAAAACATTTATTTTATTAATTAAATTAATTTTTAATCAATAATCATCTAAAAAAAGTAATAAAGATATAGAATTCTGTTACATAACATATTTTTTTTGTACTTTAATTTATTCATCTTCATTGCAGTCGTCTTCGAAACAGTTTGAAACAATGTAGGTTACTACTATAGGTACTGTAGGTACTACCTACATTTGGAGATTTTCAAATTTAAATGTGCGGCGGTTAGGTCTTAAAATTGATTTGTATCTGCTGAAAGAGCGTTCCACGTCAACTGATGTGAATGGGGCATATTTCATATTTGATATATCAGATGGTGCAAATTCAATATCCATTGATTGTTTTCATTTGTATTTAGAAGAATATTTCTAATAGTTTTTATGTGTTGTAAACCAACATTTTTAGCTAGTATGTCATTTAATTTATTTTTTATTATCACTCCAGATTCTCCTTAGACTTCACTAAGTGTATTTGCTGCATTTCCCACTATTTCTAGGCTTTCAACTAATGTGAGTTTCTAATTTTTCATGACTTCAACCAAAAAACAAAAGTTTGCTAAAATATATGCTAAATTATTTTTTAGCTCGTTATTTTGCATAATATCTTTTGCTTTTGCAATAGAAATTGCATTATCCGAATCAAAATTTGAAATGACGTCTTTAATTTTTTCAAAATTTTTTGAATATACACGATTATACACGCACAACAGTACAACAGCACAACAGCAGACTGAATAATACTAACACTAACCGATATGGTGACATCAAATTTACGACGCGCGAAGTCGATAAAGTCGATAGATGGTTAATTTTAACATTTCTGGAAATTTAATAAGCACCTACAATTATAAAATATGAAATATTTGCAAAATATGTACTTATTAATAAAATATTTAGAAATATGTATTTACAACCAAATATGTGAAAATATGTAACATAAAAAATTGTCATTTTATTCAGGGTGTTATGAACCGTGCTTATTTTTAATCAGGACAATGATATCTGCATTCAATAAAAATATGTATTTACATAAAAATCCTATAAATCCCTATAAATGAGCATTTGACACTAGATAACCTAGAGCTGGTTCAAAAATGAAGCCAACCACCGCTTCACACCAGGCCACTAAAAAACATATGTATTCATTTATTTATCTATTCATATAAAGTATAAACGGACTTAACTGATTATACTTAACCCACTTTATTATTAATCTATATACTTCGCGCAAACCTAAGTTGTTACCCGGCGTATAGTATAGGCAAAATAGGTACAATAGTCACATATTATTAAACTTTGCGGTGTGAAACGAAGATGGCGTTTGGATTATTCGTACACAAATGTGATCTAGCTAGGTATCCTATTGATCTATTAGCTAAAATAAAAGTTTAACCTATTTGCATACCAATAATATTACTTAATAAAATCGTATTGTCTACCTAGGTTACTTAAAGTTGAACGTTAATCAATTTTTATGTGAGGTGGCTGACTTGCTAGACACTCAAAAACCGTTTTTCGACTTAACACGCTGGGGTATCGTATCCGGCCTGTTCAGTTATCGAATGACACGGTTTATGACAGATAGCTAGACGTTCAAACTCGACTTTCAAAAATATCCCCTCCTTTAAAACGTGATCGCCAAGACGTTAAAGCCTTATCACAAATCCTTATCAGCTAACTTCATCACCAATGTTATCATCAGTTATCACCTACTTAAACTTTTGAGTTTTGACCGACCCTATATAGTCCTGTGATACTAACCAGAAACTACACATCTTATATATTACGTTTCATTATCCGGTGAAGTAGTTATAGGTGGAGGGGACGATTTGGAGATGGTGATACTGTGATAGAACACCCCCCCCCCTCACAGTTATGGGTGCATTCGGGAGGTCAAATTTTTTAAAATTCCCAATAGTTTTCACAAGCGCAGGGAAAAACAACATAAAAATTAAGGAAAAACAGAAATTTTTACGCAAAATCGGGTTTCAACAAAATCGATTTTGTTTTTTGATGTAACTCTAAAACAAATGAATGTATTTACATGAAATTTTCACTGGTTGCTTATATTTGCATTTTCTATACACGATAAAATTTTCAAAATATAATGATTTGTTTTGAACTGTTTAGAAACATTTTCATTTAAAATTTTGTTTTTAGTTTTTTTTTCTAAAAATATAAATAAAATTTTATTTGTTGGTTAAAAAAGCTTGAAAATTTAATAGAAGGCTCTTAGTATATTGTTTCAAAGGCAGATGAAAAGTATTAAAAATTCTTAGTCACAGTTTTTTTTTATAAGCATTTAAAGTTCAAAAATTCATAAAATATGGAAAAATCAAGAAAATAAGCAAATTATTTTGAGTTAAGAATTCGTAAAAATTTTTCTTTTTAAATAAGTATAAGATTTTAAAACTGAATACAAGTTTCTTAGAAGATTATCTACCTTTATCAAAAAAAATAAAAAAATGTCTATAAGAATGTCAAATTAAATTTTTATGAGCGTTTGAAATTCAAATTTTTACAACATTGGATATTCACCTGATTTCTCATATAGCGATTTCTTTATTTTGTTTTAATTCAAAAACAAATAATTGTAGATACATGAAAATTTCACTGAATGTTTATATTACTATTTTCTATACACCATACAATTTTGAAAATATTTTGACTCTTTTTGAGCTATTTTGGATTATTTTTACAAGCATTTAAAGTTCAAATGTATACAAAATTTATCAAAATCTCGAAAATGTTTAAATTATTTTATACTTGGTTAAAAATTTATAAATGTTCAATTTCTATAGCTTAGTATTGAAAATGTAAAACATAATTTCTTATAAATTATAAGACATAATTAGTTCATTGTTCACACTGTAACCAAAAAATATAACTATTTACTTATGAGAAATTTTGTATTACTTTTCAAATGTTGGATATAAAATGGAAAGTTTTTATTAATTTCTAATTACAAAATAATTTGCAAATTTTCACAATTTTGAGAAATTTCAATAAGATCCCAACTTCAGACTCTTATTAGAACTATTGTGGATTTACACTAAACTTTTTTGACCAAATTGAAAAATTATTTATAAGAAATAAGAAAAATTGATAATTTATCATGCCTACTATAAAAGCTCAAAAAGAGTCTAAATATTTTAAAAATTTTATCTTGTATGGAAAATGGTCATAAAAACATTTGGTGATACATTTTGAGTATCTACAATTATTTGTAAGAGTAATTTTTTTTTTGCTTTTGAATCTTAACAATTTAAAAATGAAGATTCACAAACTACTTTTTAAGTTATTATATATATTTCTTTTAATTATTTCAATATTACCCTAGGATTGGCCCAGGCTAAGATTAGCCACTTTTAATTAATTAAATAATAATTTGGTGATTGTGAATTCTTATTCCTAAATTATTTATTCACGTGATATTATTATAATATAATTTAATTAGTACGTGTATTTAGTATTTGATATGCCTATTACATATGGTTGATACCAAAAAAGAAACTTAAAAATAATATTCATCTCCACATTTGTTATAAACTGTTTTCAAATCTAGTATAATGTAAACCAAAACTGTAATGATTTTCAATTGGAAGTTGAAATTGCAGGCTTTGTTGAATTTTGAAATGTATTTAGTTTAAATAATATATTTATGCCATACTGATGATATTAATAATAATCTTTATTGTCTGATAGATCGTGTTCCACATATTATAAATAAGACGTAGTTAGATATCCATTGAACAACCCGTAGGTATATAAACGAATATCCAACAATTATTAACTATTCATCAAACATAAACATACTGTGCACAACAGATATAATAGAACAATTATTTACATTTAATAGAAATTAAGGTCATATTATTAGTTTATAATAAATTCTGTGGACCTATCTATTTGTCATTTGAAATTTGGTATACTGTAGTATACCTATCTAATATATTAAATAGGATACGACATCAAGGAAAGTATTTACGTTTTTTGAATATGTATTTTTTTTACATAACTCGAAGTTTATCAACACTTCAAACACTTTATACCTATATTATGTTATAACTATTATAAGTTTTAACTATAATTAGTAAAAATAAAAAAAAAATGAAATCATTATTTTAAAATTACTTCAAATAGATGCTTAATGTAGTAAAAATTATTTAAAAAACTACTATAAAGTTTGTGTAACTGTTATTTCGTACATATAATAACTAAATACTAAACACACAATAGGACAATACATAACATTAATTATGACACGCGTAATAAATTACGATTGTAAATGTATAATGAAAACTACTAACTATAGTAGAGGTACCGATGGCTACGATGAGCCCCTATACCGTTAATTCGAAATGTTATAGTCGGATTAAAAAAATAATAATTTATTGATATATATTATATTTGATCCCAAATTACTAAGCAAAACCCCCATAAAATGTTCCACGTCAGTTGAATTATATAATATTTTGTATTGTATATATCTACACTACAAACTATCCCAAAAAAAATAAATATGATATGCACCATTATATATATATATTTTTTTTTAAATAATGTATTTTTGTCGTGTGAGGAAAGACTTATTATAACCCATTATTTCAGACTATTTTATTTTTATTTTTTATTAATGAGATTTTAACATAAAAATTATTATATCTCGACAATTATGTATATAAATCTGAAGTATAAAAATTGGTAAAGCTCACACAATTAAATTAGGAAGCCTGATTGTAATTTCAGACTATATACTATATTATTTTAGGTACGACTTCAGTTATTCATTTGATTTTACATAATAACTATCATAAGAGTAAGATATTAAAAAAAAATTTTAAATGATATCTACCTAATATAATACAATAAACTAATAACTACATTTATGTGTATAAATCTATACAGTTGAATGCTCGCCACGCAATACCAATATCTCCAAACTGCAAACTATATTTAGATATATAATGTATTGAATATTATATTGTGGTTGTAACATTATAATATTATTTATTATTTAATTCATGTTAACAAGGTAATCACAATTGCTCAGCGATTATTTTGTTTCGTAGTTAAAAGTATGCACATAATAATAATAAGTAAATGAACAAAAAGTTATAATATTATTAAAAGTATAATTTATAATATAGGCACGTATCTAAAATGTATTACAATATAAAATTAAAATTTTTTTAAAGAAATTAACATTTAAGGTATATATAGATAATAATAATGACCCCAATTTATTTGTGAATGTCTATCGACGTGGATTCCAAATGTGTTCATCTCACTAAAAATAAAAAAACAAATTTAAATTAGAAACAAAGAACCAAATGCCTTAAGGGTATTTTATCGTATCAATAGGATTATTATAGTACGATGCAAAATACCGTTAACAAACGTCTAACTACTGCAATACCATTACCACCAGCTCTGCTTTAATAGATTTTGATTACCAGATTGGCGTATTTACGATATTTGTTTGTGTGAGGGAATTTTAAATTATAAGTAACAACTTTATAGGTAAGCCCCCATAAAAAGCTGGTAATTTAACCCCCGAGTAAAATCGCTTACAATATTATGCAAGTACCTATATACGTACCTGCAAATATATTGAAAATACCATCTAAAATAACAGACACTGAAACTATTTGATTTATATATTATAACACAGTTTTTAATTATTATAATATTTATTACATACTTTAATTGCGATAAGAAATTTTCTTAAAAAAAAAAAATAAAATTAAGAAAATATATAGGAATATTATAAATCCCCCAAGGGGGGGGGGGAAATACATAATTCCCTCCAAACCATAAATACGCCACCGTTAATAGCAGATCACAGGTACCCAATATCATTTTAATATCGGGTTTCCCACGATAGTATGAAAAAACCAACAACATATGATTTCATGTAAAAAATAGCAAGCGTGTTAATCGTATATTATACCAAATAATGATTTTAAGTAAACAAAAATATCACAACAATAATGTCTGTGGACGATTATGCTTATAATATCATATCGTTTATTACAGTGTACTCGACCGCTATTAGTTGTGCCTATTATACATTAAAATATTATATTATGAATCATTATACAATATTGACTCGTTTCGGTACATTGTCACCATCATTTATCCGTGAGCGGTAGGTAATTGTAAAAGACGGTACCGGTTATTTGAATTTTTTTTTATAAATGTAAATTACACGGTGATCGACTAGAATTATATTTAAGAATGCATAAAATCAACAAAAAAAATCAATAGTTAAACGTATATAATAATAATAATAATAATAATAGTAATAATTACGATAATATAAAATAAATCGTCGTGTATGGGACGTATATAAAAAAAATTAATATTGAAAATCAAGAGTGCACCTTAAAATGAATACAATTTCCGATAAACATAAAGTTAAGGGGAAAAAAAGATACAATTATTATATTAAACGCGTGTGCCACTTAAAGTAATGCTCGTTTATATCATAAGTAGTAGGTAGATGTGGAATATTATGTTGGTATCATAAATATGAGTAAAATTAAAATGATTTAGCAGTTAGCACGCTATAGCAGTTTTATAGCCAACTCGCTACTCCCACTATACGCATATAATATGTAGTGATTAGTAGTTGATTGATTCCTGAAAAAAAGAAAAAACAGAAAAAACCAAAGATGAGATAGTTGTATTAGCGTTTAGAAAGAGTGTTAGGTGTTCCACAACATGTCCAATTAACAATATAATATATTATATAAACTCGATTGGGATTAAACAAACGTGTTAATATTATTATGTATTATATTGTTATGTACAATCGGTGTATATTGTGTTATAAGGATGAACAATAAGTAGGTATGCAATGATTTTAATTTTAATTTTTGATATTAATAAACGTTTTTGTAAATATTTTCGTTATAATATAATTAGAAGTTATTTCAAAACAACATAAAAAAAAAGTTTTATTTTTATAGTTATAATTTTCTTAATATTTTAATGATTTGAATGACAGCGTAGTACATTTTTAATTCATGTTCTGACTTAAAATATTTTTCTGAAATTTTAAATGTATAAAATCGATTTATGAACGAATAGTTAATTAGTTATATGAGTGTTGATAGACAAATTGTAAGTGGCACAAGGATACCCTGCATAATGTTGGTCCATTACACGGGTCATCATATCTTTAAGTACTTCTAACTTGTTAACCATTAACTTCCCACTAATCTAGAAAGCTTTTTCGATTTTTATGCAATGACAATTTCAGAAAAACATTCTGCTTCACAATATGAAATTCAAAATGTACTATAATGTCTTTGAAATAAGTAAAAATGATAACGATAAGAAATAGTAAAAATATGTTTTTTTTCAATTGTTTTACAGTGATATCAAAGTTAAAAATTACATGACAAAAATATTCCCAAAAACGTTAATACTTTTTGAGAAAATGAGTGAAGAAATCACCTTTAGAAGAATCACCTTGTAAACCTTTGTGTATGCACTGTTATATGTTTAAATGATGTACAGATGTATATTATAACGTTATGTGTTAATTGTGTTAGCTAAGGCCTGAGATTGATTAATAGATAATATTATGTGAAAAAACGTAATGATTTAAGTACTGCGCTCTACTCCAGCGGGTAATGAATTAATGACACATCATCAAACGCGCGTACAATGTATTTTTAATGAACATTATTTAGCATATTAAGTGTATATATATAAATACATTCTATGTCTTTAACTGTGGTATTGTGTTTTTGTATGTATGTGTCCAAAGTACAAAATAATAATACTTGTGTAATTATATTATATGATTGTTGTACTTGTTAGTTGAAAACGGTTTGATAAAAACTGATTGATCACAAAAACGGATTTTTTTTTAAGCAATTCCCATAGGCTATAATACCATTATAACGTGAATTAACGTCATATAGGATTTAGGAAAACAACGATTTAATAATTGCTGAACCAAGGCTGTTCAATGTTCATTTAATGCACTAAACGAAACCATGAAATTAACATTCACTTATGCACTTAAAAACGGGGAAGTAAAATCATAAATTCCGATATATTCGAAATTCTGCAAAATCAACCTAACAAAATAGATTTACAATTATGATTGTATTTATGCCATGAACGTTTTTAGTAAATAAAACATAAACAATTTACCTATACCTAACTGTATGGATTATTTTAATCTACGGCAATGATCGTCACAAAATCTTAAAAATAGTTAGATAATAGCTAGGATCCATAAAAAATTCATCAAGTGGTAATTCCTTGATAGTCGAATTTGTATCTCACGCTCATTTCGAATTCACGATGAAATTTATCGCTAGGTACTTAAAAATAATAAATCCTCAGTCCTGGTTACAACTTAATATTTTTTCTAGGAGCACCTATTATAGGTACTAAGCGTCTAAGGCTCAAGTTCACCTAAATTTCTGTTGCATTAAGTCGTCATTAAAACATACGTGGTTTGGGTTTGTATAGAATATAGATGGTCGAAATGAGAATTTTAGTCTAAGTGGGTTTTAGTTACTATATTATACCGAATTGCATGTCTGTTATCGCAAACTTGTTCTTGCACCGTTTTAGGCATAGATAATATTATTATTATTTTTTTTTAATTGATCTTAAGCCCGGCGACTATGGCTATTAGATGTATGGTTTTGTAGGTTTTTATGTCGGTAGGGGGAGGAACACGTATGTGTTGGGTTTGGCAGAATTTTTGATTGGGCCACCGTGACTTTCCCGAAGAAAAATGCCGCCCATGACCGAGGTATTGAGCCAGCTTCGGCTGCGTCGCAACCGACGCCTTAGACAGCTCGGCCACTGCGTCCCCCTATAATAATATTATCCATGGTTTTAGGTCATAGTATACAATTTTGCAGCAATATTAGTTGATGTGGATTTCTTTTAAAATGCCAAAAATCATTTTGGACGTTAAAAATTGTTTTTATATATGCATATATATTTAAAACGGCAAACTATATAGGTATTATATTATTTAATATGAACACTGCAATATGCGTATGTATCATTATTATACTGTTATATTGTATGCATATATACAAAATAAATACTTTTTGGACGCGATTAAAAATGTGAGTATGTGTTATACTATAATATTATATTATTATTTTACTACTATACACTGCCACCATACAAAATCCACGCATGGCATGCGTTTTATACACGCATCATCCGCAATCGTTCCGATTATGTGTGAAAAATCAAAAATAAAAAAAAAATAAAAATAAACAAACGTTCAACCGATAAAGATTATCCTTACTGGCAATATACATCGACAGTGTGTGTAGACTGTGCGTACACGGGTTTTGTGTGAGAATTTTTTTTCCTACATGATAGTACAGCAACCTAACTTACAGCCGAACAATCCCTTGGCCTTGGACATCATGCTCTTGGCCGGTTCCCCGAGAGCTTCGCGCTTATCGCTGAACAACTGGTCAGCCTCCTTGAGCTTGTCGTCTACCGCCGAGCTCACCTGTGGATATGCGTTCATGTGCGACAGAGGCGCAAACAAAAACAGAAAACAAAACGCATGATTAATAATGTAACGTCTCAATCAGCGAAATCGCCGTACACAGTATCATATTATAAGTGATAATATGTATTATATTGTATACACAACCGCGGGAATTGACCGTGGGTAATAGTATATTAATACAGTGAAACTTCCAAATAACGAACTTCCATTTAAAATAAATTTTGTTTCACTAAATATTTTTCAGAAACATATCAAATTAGAAAAAAATTAATTTAATTCTACTTAACGGAATTTTCTACAAAACGAATTTTTTTTTGTTCTCCGTGAGACTTCGTAATATGGAAGTTTAACTGAATATTTTTATAATAATGTATACTGTTGCAAGGGTGTTCGCAGAACGAACCCGATGATATCCCTCGACCCGACCCGACCCGACGACCCAAAGCCCGTATATACTTCCATCTAAGAGCGTCGAGTTGGGTTACGGGTTAAGGGATATCGAGCGGGGCGATGTTCTGTGATCGAGGGGTCGCCCACCTATACACACAGGTGTGTGTACAAGTAGTGAGTAATATCATGATAAATGATAATAATATAATGACTGCGCCGATGTGTATAACTCAGTTACTGAGATTAATTTAACTCAAATCACTCTTTAGTCCCAAAACTATTAACTAATATTTGAAAATATTTTTTTACATAATCAAGTCGTTACAAAACAAAATTTTTAACAAAAATTATATTTTTTACAATTTTGTAATCGATATAATTTTTATAGGATTTAGATACTTTTTTGAATGACAACATACATTTTTAAATTATAGAGGAATTAAAAATGATTATGTCATTAAACAAAGTAAACATTTTTAAAAATAGTTCAAATGTTGTTTTATATAACAGCTTAAATGTATGTAGATTTTTTTCAAAATCATTTACCTATAGTTTTTGAAATAATGAGTGTTCTTCGATAAAATAATCTCCCGGTTTATATACAGAGTGTAACAGAAATAGCTGACACATATATAATTAATATTAACTATTAACAATCTTTTGTTACATAATATATCTATAGTTAGTTAATCACGTCAGTCTATTTTCAGCAGTTACACTCTGTATAATGATTATTTAGCGTTTCTCAATCCTAGAACATCAAGACTTTCTAGGTGGCTATTGCATTTTTTCATAACACTTTTGACATCAAGATGTCACGTGTGAGTAAAAAAATGTTTTAAAATACTTCGAGAGTAAGTTTATAGCTTAATTTATTTCGAGCCAACAAAAACTTGCAGGTATACACCGTATACCTATAATATACTTCAATCGAATTTAACTGTAATTTATGGCAGTGAGAAAAGTCAGTAGTTCAAAGGGGTTGAGAAACACTTAGCTATAATATAATATGATGGATTCAATATATGTATTTATTAAAGTATACTATGTATACTTAATATTTATTATATATATACGCGTCTATACAAAGCTGCATGACAATAACTACTAAAACCGGGTGTGGCGTGTGATTGAAATATGAAAATAAAATAAAAACATATGAAAAAAATGACCGCAATAGTCATCATCTCATTCGTGTGTGGTATAATGTACTATACTACGTCAAAAATCAGAAAACCATATAGCAATACAATATTTATGCATAAATAAGTAATCTCACCTCGTCTATATTTGTAGCCGTTAAATGATATTATTATTATATTAACGATAATTCTGTAAAGACCGCAGAAATATTACGTGTAATAATGCATAATATCATATAACAGCAACGACAATAAAACGTTTTCGTCTGTTTTTCCTATATAATATATATTATTATTATACACGCACGAGACACACCTACCTGTTGTTATATATATATTATATATATATTATATATATACAAGGGCGATCGGTATGATTTAGATCTAGGCGACCTTGTCAGTGGGGGTTTGGGGGGTGGCTAAAGAGCAAGTATATAAGGGTTGTATTGATGTCACATATATATAATATCGATTCCATCGATTTCCTTTAGGTATCGGCGGGCGAACCGTACCTGTTTGGCGGCATCGTCGACGAATCCTTTGGCCGTCGTCGACATTTGGTCGACAAACGGATTCAACTGCTTGACGCCATCAGTCAGCGCCGTGTTGATGTGCGAGGACACGTCGCCTGTGATCGGCTGCAGCTTCTTGGCCAGGTCCTGCGCCAACGGGTTGATCTTGTCATGCACCGCTTGGTCTAAGGCCGGTTTCAGCTCGGCGGCTGTCTTGTCCACCAGCGTCTTGGCCTCGGACGCCACCTGGCCGACGGTCGACTGTTGTTCCGGGGCGGCGGCAACAGGGGCGGGTGCCGGTGCGGCGGGTGTCTCCTAATCATCACAATATCGGTCCAAAATTGTATATTTCAGAGGCCCCGGTAAAATTTGTACATAGTTTACGCGCAATGCTCGTTTATATAGGTAAGTAATAATAATTGATATCGTATAATATACCAACATTATTAATATACACAGTGAAACCTATCCTATAACGGACGAATAGGGGACATCTCCGAATAGCGGACAACATTTCGGAAAGTGTCCCGCATATTAGAGGTCTCACTGTATTATAAGTTTGGGGCTGACGAGGCGCTGCACGACATCTCGAACTGCACTAGCGTTGACTTCCGTAATCATCCCGATCGTCATGTAATTTATGTAAACTATTATAAAAGAAGAGACCTATAAAAGTTTTTTTTTTATTGGAAAACCAAGTTAACGATGGTACTTTAGATACTATTAATAGAATAGTCCATTGAATAATGTATCAAAGACGTTTCCTCTCATCGGGTGGACGATTTTTTTTCAAATAAATAAGGTAGGTAACGTCATCGCCCGAATAAAACACGCCTGCATTAGTAGTGATGAATGTGAAAAATTCGAAAATATATTATATTATACAATTTATTTATTTTTTGATATATATATATAGGTAATTACATTGAGGGTCACTCTCTCGGAAATGTAAGTTGACTATTTGTATTCGAAAAACCTTGGCAGATAAACATATTATTATACGGGTCAGTGGTCACGAACAAAGGGTGCATTAAAATCAAGAGAACGCAAATGCTTTACGTTATTCGATGGCGGGGTAAACCTTCTAGGGGGCAAGAGGAGGGGGGGTTGTCCGGTTACTGCGGAAAATGCCGGATGTGTGTGCGACGGGGCTGTGGTGAAAAGCACGGTCGGGGGAGGAAACGCCCAAATACTAGCTGCAGGTATAGGTGCGATGATATTATACCACACGTGGTATCGCTGGTATATCCGGTTTCCCGGTTAACATAATAATATATTATATTATATTATACATAAACGTGAACACAATATTAAATACATCGAATACGGTTGCTATGTATAATATATGTAAAGTTTAATGTGAAAATGGCATTTTTATGACTGATTACATAACGTGAAAACACGCACAGCGATTCACGATTCGGCTGTCCGTCATCGTATGACAATAATCGTATGGCACGACACGCCGAAATGTTTTACACTCCTACAATATTCGCTTTAGACCTATGTGGGAGGGGTTATAGATGACGGATTCATAATAGTGTTTTGATCATTGCAGAGCTATAAAATAATATTTATAGTATATAATATATCGTATATGACTATATGTTCGAACACGAAACTCGTGCCATTGACAAAGTCAATTAAGTTCACTTGGAAAAATTTCTGACACTTAGGTGCCTACGTGATGGTCGTTTTAAAGACACGCGAGCGCGAAGTACAACGGCCAGAATATAATAATATGGAGACACTGCAGTGGCACGAATAGGATTTTTAACTTTATGAAATATATGTATGTTTATATTTTATATACCTAAAATTAATATATATACGTTGTTGTGAAGTGGGAAAGACATAACAAATTATCTCAACACTACCTATATATAAAACGTTATAGTTCCCTGCAAGGTCAAGACTATTATAATGTACATGGCATACCAAATATTACGATACCGGGTGATCCGTTTAACGTGAAACACAATCATTATTTCAAAACTTGATTTTTCGAAAAAATAATTATTTTTATTACTATTATAATTATTTTGTATCGTTATTACTTTTTAAATGTTTAATTTTTTTTATGAAAACATCCATTTTTCAATTCCTTTCTCTAAAGTAGAATTTTTTTGTGTACTTTGATTTATAAAAACTGAATTTTGTCATTTTATGGTTTATAAGACGTATTTAAATCCATAAAGGTTATAGTTATAGTCAAACTAAATACAAAGTGGAGTGGTACAGAGGTACCCTGCAAATTGTTGATCCATTCTCTGCTCATCTTAACTAATAAAATAAACTACTCATCCGAAATTTAATTTTTATAGATCAAAATTGGCACTCCGAATAATATTTTGCTTAGGAATATGAAATTAAAAATGTATGTCATACAGAAGAGTAAAATACTTTTGAAAAATTAATAACAATAAAAAATAGTAAAAATATAATTTTTTTCTTAAAAATTTTGTTTTTCAACGACTTAATAATATAGCAAGACAAATATTTTAAAAACATTTGTGCTTTCCGAAATAAGGAGTGTTTTACATCAAATGTATTACCCAGTATATATAGCAGTTAATGTCCATATGTCCGCATTATTGTAGGAGGATGAAAAAATCGTGGGTGGTAGTGGCCCCCTTACTATATTATACTATGCGACACTTCACACACTAAAACATAAGAGTAGGAGGCATATAGGTAGTATTTAGGTACACCATAAACGTATATTATAATAGGTACGCGACGGAATTATTGTAAGTTCATACACCGTAAAATTGTTACTCCGCCTTATTACCCTAACTTTTTTCTATTACTTTAGCATATTATACAAAGTAGTGTCATCCTATCTTCAGTACCTGTTGTTGACATGACTCTATCGTAGGTGCATGTATCTATATTTAATTATAGTATCACGTATTCGGTGTATTCAACATGCGACACGATAAATAACAATATAATGTATACACACTCGATTACTTCATATTATTCATATTAATATATTATAGAATGCCAATACAATTAATTATATTTTTATTGTTCTGCAGGGCGAAGAACAGCTGTTAAAAAATAGTTACCTATCGCAGCAGTATCCTTCCCATTTACAATTTAACAAGGTTCTTAACTATCGTATGATTTTCGAAATCAATATTGAGTTATTCTTAATATTATGTCGCCAAAAACAAAATATATAGAACAAAATTGAAAATTATAATTATATTTTTGACCCGATTCGAGCATGAAATTGAAATAATCGAGTGATATTTTATTACCATATAATATAATATATATAGGTACAAAACTGTACAAGTTATCCTATATGTGTATACAGCTGGTGCAGTTCGAGCGTCGTTTTGTATTATTTTTTACAATAACAACAGATACTATAATAACACTCAATAAATTACCCATTAGCATTTGCATGCAACATTATAAAAGCGTGCATCAATAATAATGCATGAATCTATGATTTGTAACGATTATATTTTAATGTTAAATGTTAACCTTTATTCTCTTAATTGGTTAGATATTTTAAAATAAAAGTTAATCAGTTTTTAAACGTATTGGTATTTGATAAAAGGTGATATAAACGATTTAAAGGTCTCCTGCAGTCTTAAACAAAGGTCAAAAGGTCTTTGGATATTCGCAATTATACGAGTAATAAATAAAGTCTGGCAGAATCCACTTATTTTTATTTACTCTTTAATAATAAATTGATTAATTAGTATTTAAACACTTTATCAATAATAAATGTCCATATATTATATAGGTACCTAATCAGTAATAATTATCTACGAATAAAGTATTTAGAATTAATATATAATATAATGTTTGATGCTTTATCAATATTCATGTATTAGAGATGGTTAAATAGTTCAATGGATTGTATGTATAACATTGCAAATTTTCGTTTCGATAAGTTACCTTAAGGGTTTTATTTTTTTAATCTGGATTAATTACATAGGTATGAACGTTTATATTATGATTGTCTACAGTTTTGAATCCAAGGATATATAATTTATATTTAACATTTGGTTAGGTATTGTTTTATGATTTTTTAAATATCTTTTGTATATTATTACCTACTTATAAATGTATTATATTTATATTAAAATCATGCTATAATACAAGGTAGGTATTTTTTTCAACGTATAATGTATTTAGACGTATAGAACACATTAACTCTGATATAAATACTAACTGTCTAACTATAAATCACTAATAAGTGCGTCATAAAACTACATTAATTTATATAAAGACATAAAAAAGGACGATTTATTATATTATTATATAATATTGACTAATAAAAAGAACAATTTTATTATATTATTTCTACGATTTTATTATGTTAACGAAAACACTCCACCGAAGGCAGTATAAAAGTTTTGAAATATTTGTGTTATCTGTATAGTTATACATATTTATTTAAATATTATGCTCGCGTTATATTGTCATTTGTCGGTATTCCTTTCGTCCGACTCTGTAAATAATTTAGACTACACTACATCGATAACAAATGACCGAATTCCAGCTTAAACAATGTTAAATTAATGCACACCATCACGCGATTCGGTGGTCATTTAAACGGACGAATCGTCGGGCATAATAACCTTGGGAAGCCGGGAAATAATGCATGGCGAAAATAAAAAAATAAAATATAACACCATAATGATATAGGTAGCATTAGTTTTCACGTCTAACCCACATTCCGTGTATCGATCGTACTTCACGATTGTATTGTTTGAATCTAAAATTCCACGCGATTTAGGAACAGGCAACCACACCAATGCTCATATACTTGATACACCTACGACACGGACTATATTGTATACATAGATTCTTGTAATATCTTTTTATATTATTATTAACTTTCTATTATAAATTTACAAACGTAATATTAAGCAGAAGCCACTACTGTTTTATTGTATTGTATTTATATACTAGTCATAATATTGCGTAGGTACCTATACATAGGGTTGCTACCAGACGTACTATAGTGTCCCGAAATATTCGTGCCCCGTCTTTTTTATATCTAACCAACATTTCCTCTTTTCACGCTGTTTTCAAGTATATGATTCTCCGAACCAAACGCATCGCTTCTGTGGTATTATTGTGATCGGTATCTGAGCAATAATGAGTGTTATATAAAATTACCTATATTAATTACTTATATCCTGTATATTGTTTATTGGTTTATATAGGTTTTATTATATTATACACAAGGTGGTATCACCTTACCAACATTTTTTCTTTTAGTAATAAATTAACTCAAATTCTGATAGTTTTAAGTATAATCGAATAGAAAGACGGTAATTTTTCTTGATGAAGTTTGTATCGTCACTGTTTAAATGATTTAAAAAATCTTTGTATCCGAAAATATTATGGTCTTTAAGCTAACTAAAGAATTTGAATTTGAATTACCTACTAAAGGATAAAAGGAAGGTAAGTATGCTTGGTACCCTGTAAATTATTAGCTACAGATTATTATCAATAGTTGTTTTTATGACAAATACATTATTTTTCATTCATGTCCAAGTTTTAATACTGTTATGATTTTCCTTTAAACGAATATAAGTACCTTTTATTTAATTTGAATGACAACATTATTTTATTCACTAAGCTCCTGTACAATAAAAAAATTTAGCTTTTTCTATTTTATAGTTTAAGGACTAGTTATCATATATATTATATTATATAGCCGTTCACATTGTAGTAAGCGGTCGTGCGATTGGACGTTGGATGGGAAAAAGCGATTGTTATTTTTATGATAAATTCGAATAGATTATTTAATGAAACATAATGACGATCACGTATTATTGCTTGTATGGCAAACAATTTTGCCGTCTGTTGTATGAGAATTTATATTTATATAATATTATGAGTAATTAAATAATAAGGCTATTAGGTTAGTATATTTTATAGTGATTAATGATTATCTATATATCTTTGACACTTTATTTATAACGGGCGATCGGAGAAAAATTACTAATGAATAAATCAAATAAACTTGCATAATATTCTGTACAATATAACATATCAAACGTTTTGAAATTATTAGAGTTATTATAATTTATGGGCATCATTATTACAATATTACTTATAAATATCACAACTTTTATTATTTCATTTGGTTATTGAATTTCTGGGAAATATAAATTGCAGTGAGATAATGATAATATATGATGTTATCACTGATTTATATAAAACGTACATTTATTTAAATATAAATAACAACAAAAAGTAGGTAATAATATTATGACAAAAAAAATAACAAAACAAACAAACAAAACCCTTTAAAACATTTTTACCACCTTTATAGGTTTGAGCTTTCGTAGGTACATGAGTACAAGACATTATAATAATAAGCTCGTATGCACAATATTATAGGACAATGTTTTTTTTGATTTTATATGAGCAGAGTATTATATTTTAGATATTATACAGAAAATAAACACAATAAAATGTATCGTTCTTGGCAGTTCGGTTACATATTATAGATTCAACCATTATTGATTTCAAATCCGTACCGTGTTAATGTGCTTATTGTATTACACAGTTAGAGACCCGATCAACAAACTAAAAAATAACAAACATTTAAACAAACAATCTACGAAGCAAAGTGCAAGTTATTCGGGGACAGTGGTGTGTTAATGCGTGTTAGTGTGCGTGTATTGTACCTATATGTCGTTTTTGAAGTACAAATATTATACTTCTACTTACTCGAGTTTATATCCACATTCCCCACGACACAAATTTAAAATATTATGGTGTACATCCAATTTTTTCTACAATTCTCAATCATTTTGATATATTCATACAATGCAAATATTGCTCTCTCACAAGTCACACACTCCTAGAATTATAGTAATTTTGCTATATTATACGACTTTGCAATCAGAACTCACGGGTAGTTTAAAATACGCAATATAATATTTCATCTATATTCAGAGCTAAAACGAAATTCTATATGTGAAGCAACAATCGGTGTTTTTTAAATTCCTTTCAACTTATTATAGAAACCAAATTGCACTTATTGTACTACCACAATGTTATTTGAACTCGTATTTGAAAACAAATTGGATGTTTACTGTTACGAATAGTGTTCGATCAGGTTTAAATTAATTATGAACCATTGATATATTTAAAAGAAAAACTGAATATTGAATAATGACAGAGATGAAAACCCTTATATTTTTATCATAATCATATCGTCTTGAAAAATTTCTAGTATAGGTAATTTGTAAAATAAAAGAAAAATTATAATTTATATTGGAACTATGACATATACGAAATAAACTTCACTCTAACCTCATATTTGACCCAAAACGAAGGACTGCTGGAATCACGTTAAAAGTCATTGAAAGCGATTATTTCATAATACTGCAGCACCGCTTTATTTCCGAATGTTCGATAGGTACTTGTAAATAAAAACCATGATCCGAGATATTTTCGTTTCGACATTTCCTCTTCGGATAGCGTTTTTTTCAAACCGATGTACATTGTTTTTGTCAAAGGGTGTGTTTCGGTGGTTGGGGAGATAGTCGTTAACTCATACCTTGGGCACCACTCTGCCGAATATCACTCCCGTGACTTTTGTCGTCTGGTTGAGAACAGTCGTGGCCACAGGTACGACCTTGGTCGCTAACAAAAGGGCCATCTTCGAAGCAGCGAGACTTCCGCTAAGCATGCCGTTCATACCGTTGGTCATACCACCCATTGCACTGGTCATACTACCCATTGCAGTGGACATCCCTCCGGCTACAATGCCTAGCGTGTTAACCATCCCTTGCGCTGTACTTACCATTCCATTAGTAGTGCTTTGAATCATACTGGAGACTCCTTTCACCGAATTGGCTACTCCCTTCACCGTACTTTTGACTCCCTGCACAGTGTGGGTCACTCCATCGGCCGCTTCGTGGACTTTATCAGTCACTTGGTGGGCTTTATCCCCTACCGAATGAGCTACCTTACCGACAACCGAATCGTCTAATTTATGGGTCACCGCACTTGCTGCGCCCTCGATATTACTCTAAAATATTACATGGAATCAAACCACGTGCACACAAGCAAGGTTGCAATTAAAACATATAAACTTGGTTATTATAGGTATACATTATTGTATTATTGTTATATGCGAGTTTCATACTTTAAGACACCGACAAACATGTTAACACATTTAAATTTAAACACACAACATTGCAAGATTTCTTACGGGTATTTGTGTAGCTATGGCGCTTCTAACCGTATTTCCGATCAGCGAACCAAAATCAAGGCCCGCGTTACTACCACCAGACTATAACAGTATACAATTTAATATTATATACATATAATAATAATAGTGTGTACATACAATTTTGAAATTTCGTTCGCAATCAAACCATAAAATCATTATTATGATTTATGAATAACTAGCTGATCCCGTGCAACTTCGTGCACAATTCGTTATTTAATATTCGGTTGTGTGGTGTTCAAGTTCAGCTTTGTGGTGTTCAACTTTTCAGTTGCCCCGAATAAAAATTCTGATTCCAACAGTACCATAATCAAGTATAGGCAATCTACCTGTGGTAGATCACGAATCCCGTGCAGTGTATACATAAGTGTATGATTTAACTCTAAAGTATCAATGTTATGCCAAGTTTGTCTTTTTTACTTAATTCTAGCTGTCCCACCCGGCGTAGCCCGTGCAAAAGATTATTTTTTTAAACTTCAACATAGAAACGCGCCTCATATTATGTACCTTCGAACGATGTCAAGGAGCCCGATCTTCCTTTGAGTGATAAAATGTAAATAATTAAAAACACAGTTGGCTGCACTGCTGATTTGTGCACATGCACTTTATGTTGAAAAGAGACAACGTTATCAATCAAATTGTTGTGGGAAAGAGAGGTCCAACCAGTACTATTTTGTGCAGCAGACTCTTATAGTATAGATAAATGCTAATAAGTAGTAAATAACGTAACGAAATAGATAATAATATTATACAAATATACAGTATTTAGTTGTAAATACTCGTGATAATAAATTTAAATTATTTTAAAAAAAAAAGTTAAATAACACACTCTTAATAAAATAATAAATACTGCAGACATTCAGTTTAAGTCTTATAGCATACAGATTGCTGGTACTTATTTAAAGTTTAAACAATTACTAAATTCTTCCTATACCGGTAATTCACAATATTATTATCATAATATATTAAACAATATAAAAATATGTTTTTTTACTAACAAAACTAAGATATTCATTTTAATAGATTTCTTAAGAATAACTAATATTCATACGAAATATTTTTAAAGGAATTCCTAACAAGATGTTATTTTAATTAAACATTACTAATATAATATTAAAATACCATAATAATAATCACTAACCGTTAATCACTATAATCATACACATTGTAACTTGTAAAACATATTTGTTCGGTCTCTTCGTAAAAACTCGTATACAATTTCATTATATTTTGTTTCTATATTATACTGACCTCCATTTTACTAGCAACATGACCAATTGAATTCTTAATTCCACCTAATAAACCACCACCACCAATATTGTGTTTAGAAGTCTACAAAAAAATTATAATAATTACAGAAAAAGCCATACGACACGGCTTAAGACCAATTATTTTGTAACATAAAAGTATAAAATATTGATATTAAAATAATCATGCACAATAGTCAAAATAATATGCAAATAAATATGAATGTTGCGATTATAAGCTCCGGGTGATAAAAAAAATTATTTCCGCAATTGGCTATTTTATAGGTTTAGCTAGCAATATATCATAAAGCCCGTAAGCCCGTCTAATACCTCCTGTAAGGCACTATCAGCAAGTTTCTCGACCTCCTGGTCAAAACCGTCCACAGCTGCCTTTTTCGCCTCTTCTGCGGCACTCACAGCTTTGCCTTCTGCCTCGTTGAGCGTGTTAGATAAGAACTCACCGGTTTCTTTGACCTAAGGATTTCATAGTCAACGCAAATGTGTATGATATATGTATATCCTACTTTGTATCACTTCGCCACAGCATTGTTTGTAAAGAACAATATTATACAGTACAACGATACAATGAATAATAATGATTTTATTATTATTATTATGATTTATTTATGTTTTTTATATAGCTTATCCAAAATGGTAACGTATCAATGTCTAATTTATCAATATAAATAGTCAACATATACATATCAAATCGTAAAATAGGTATACAAATTATGGAAATAAATGTTTATATTAAAAGCTACCACAATAAAATGTATCGTAAATCTATCTCACAAATTAATTGGTTTTGATGCTTCCAATATTTAACATTGCATAGGTACCAATATTAAATTATATAAATTTCAACTAAACATTTTAAGAGAACTTTACCTATATATAATTATTCGTAAAGGTTTACTTTGTTCTATTGATATTACGAATTTCTAATAAAGTTAATTAAAATATCTAAATGAACTAGGTACTAGGTAGATATATGTTTTTTATGTAAATGTGTATAATAACAATAATTGTTGATTTTTAAGACTAAAACATCAACAGGTTGACTGCCCTACCAACTTCACTGATCTTGCCACGAACGCCTTGAGTATCATATATGCACTCAGTACGAATCTGGCCGAGTATCATATATGATACTCAGTTTTTTTAGTGTTTCTGGAGTGGGAAATTCCCTAGATATAAATAAACAAATTATCTCAAAAAATTTTGAGGATCATTTATATGATACTGAAGATGAAATTGGCAAGTATAGGTAAAATATTAAGGGCAATAGTGAAAAGTTTTTAATGTATCACATATGATACTCAAGTCAGCCACTTGTTAAAAATCCCGAAGAATGATTGGTTGTATTCTTCTATAATATAATATTTGAATGTATCATATTTTATAGTCCAGACTATAAATGTATATGAAATAGTTAGTTGCGAAGCACAAAAACCAATTTGAATGTGAGATGGACTATACATAATAATATACACCGCATGAATGGATATATTATGTATATAATATATATATATATATATATATATATATTGTATATTATATTAACATAATTCGTTTACCAATTATTATTATAAACCACATCATACATAATACAGGAATGTTCAGAGGAAAAGGGATACACAACAGCTTTATCTCAGGCTTTCGATTAAGCTTCACGACGACGCCCCAAAAATGTTTCACCCATCGTAAAATAAACTAATAATTGTTTGAAATTTATATTGAACATTGAAATTATTTATCAACCGTAATTTTTTTCCTTCACATCTATTAAATTCGTAAAATGTATAAAATATTTATGAATTCCATGACTCTTTATGAAGTACTTTTTTAATCCATTAATTTTATTAAGTTAAAAAGTTAAAAAAATATAATGATATAATAATTCAAATAAAAACTGAATTTTGAAAATTTAGTTTAAATTGAAAATGTTTGAAAATCTACACATTTATCTATTAACTCTACCGCCTCTACCATATTGCTTACGTATAAACCTTATATTCAATATCACAGCCTAACTCCACACCAAAACCTCTGAACAACCCTGTTCGTATAACTTTTAAATCACTTAAAATTAACTAAATATACTAAAAATGGTAAGTGTCGAAGATGCCTTTAATTAAATAACGAGATGACGTAATTTAAAATTTAAATAAAGTTATTAGTTCACATTAACACTATAAACGATGAATTAATGTGTTAGTGTTTAAAATTATTTAGGTACATGTTTTTTTTTTTACATACATACGTATATTGATTACTGACATTATTTTGGAGGTAGTATAATCTGTGTTCATAACAATGAAGTTTATCCCACGAAAATACAGGTTTTTTTATGAAGTTCATCATATAATTTAACAAAAGTTGTTATGCAAATTTAACAAAGATTTTGGATATAGTATAAATTACAACGTATTAACTTGTCAGTTTTTGTATCGCATTATTTTCTCATTTTTATTTACACCTTTTTAGTTTTACTCTACCAAGCTTTATGAGTGCCATAACATCGTAAAATATGATTTGTTCTATATTTGCATGAGGATTAAACAATAGACCTAATTGTAAATTTCAATGAAACTTTTTAAGTATTAAGAGGACGATACCCATGAATAAGTTGTCTCCGTCTTACACATCTACGACATAGCAAATTTTCGTTCACTAGCTTCAATAGTATGCTGTTATTTTTTATATTAGAGTGAATTGACCTATTATAACATTTTTCTGTAGATAAAATTATCTGTGCTCGAGCGTTAGCTTTTATTCGATATTTTAATTTTCAAGCGAGATATGAGCATTTTAAATTTTTTATATTTCACACACATATCTTACTTGAAAATGAAAATATTGAAAAATCGCCAACGCTTAAGCACAGATAAATGATAATATTCTTACTTAAAGGCTAAAAGTATGATAATAGGTAAATTCACTTTAATATTAAAACCAACAACACACTATTGAAACTAGTGAACGCAAATTTGCTATGCCATGCGTGTGTAAGATGACTAAGATGGAGGCAACAAATGCATGGGTAACGTCCTCTTAATTTTCAAAAATGTAATAGAGGTAAATACGAACTATAGGTACAAGTGTTGATTTAACAAATATTTTACTGCAAAATATTTAGTATTTACAAATTTACCTCATAAACTGAGTTCTATTATCTAAAGACAAACAAATAGTATTTTATGGTTTTAATGGCACTATAATATTTGATACATATGAAATGATATACATTTTATTTGAGTATTCATATTACACAACTGAAATATTGTTTGCTTCATTTGATATATACTATATAAAATGAGGAAATGATCGATGGTCAATACATTTTTTATGGAATTTTTTAGTATGGTAAAAATATAAATTTCTTTATGATCTCCTACGTTTTTATAATGACTATAATGATTAAAATGTATGAAATCTAGAGTGTACATAAAAATGAGAAAAATCCTCTCTATATAGGCATGGTCGAAACATAACACGATGATTTTATTAAATGGCATTTTTATTTTAAGTATATTTTTAGCTATTCATAATAATAATAACATACTTGTTTTTCAAGAAGTGAAGTTGCAGCATGTTTCTTTTCCTCTACTAATTCTTCAGCCTTAGCTGTAATATTTTTCATCGCTATAAAAGAAAAACATAAATAAGTTTGATGGATTCAATTGCTTGATGACTGATGAGTACATTAATTATAATGAAACATGGTTTGTTTGTAAACAGCCATGTTTCGCAATTAAGTGAAGTTTAGAAATCAGATACCTGGACAACATTCTGAACTATATATGTTACCTACAAGAATATTATATTTCACAATACATTTCATATGTTACTACGCCACAATAATTGACTAAAACGTAGAAAGAATACACGTTTTAGCAGGTCGTTGTTACCAGTACATGTACCAGAGTCAACGTTGATGCTTAAATAATTACTAGGTACTTTTGAGATGTAAAAAGATAATTTAATTCTATCCAATGGTCTGGACACCCACATAAAAAAATCCGTCTTACTCGAGTACTACCATTATTGAATTTCCATAAGCATGTGTAGGATTAAGTACTCTTCAGTTGTAAAATATTGTTTGCTGTTATTCTTACAAACTACAAAGAAATTCACAGAGTTTTTTTGAAAAATAATATCAAGTTTATTACTGTGTGTTTAAGGTTTGTTTAAACATTAAAATAATTTAAAGAATGATTATAATAAAATAACCATCTATAACAGGGGTGGCTACTAATCTTAATTTTGGAAACCGCGAATTTATGAGGCTAGTAGTTCGAAGCGACCCACATTGTTAAGAGATGTTTATAAAATTAAGACACATTTTTCATTTTATAACAAATGAAGGAACAATTATTTATTTATAGAAATAACTTAGAGCCGCACGAAACTAACTCAAGAGTCACATGCGGCTTGCAAGCCTTGTTGTGGCCACCCCTGATCTATAATCTATAATCTAATGCATTCGTCTATTTCGCATTATACGGTATTATTAGAATGTACAGTGTATAGGTACACTCAAATTACGCGAAAAACCTGTTTTAATAAAGTCGTTATTTCGGATTCCAAGAGAAAAGCGTTTAACGTTTTATAGATGAACGCCAGCAGCTGCACCTAAGGGTTTCGACCAGCGTTTTATTCAAATCGAATTGAATATTATTTTCGCCACAAATGCCGGTAAAATACAATCGCACTAATTCCGGTCGATTGGGAGGACGAATAATAATAATAATTCTAATATAAAAAGTTAATTTCCTGTTGAAGCATCAACGACACCAACGCTACTGACGGCAAGGCCGTATGCATGAAGATGTTAGGTACTACATTGGGCATGAAATGTAATTCGAAAAGTCTGCTCCTACAATAAAAATATATATTTATATATATATTGTATAGCCGTGATAGATGATAAATGGTAGCTGCGCTATTATAATACGATCATTTCGTACGTGCACATATTATAATATATATTATTGTATACAATAATATACACATATATATGTTTATACGTCCCGTCTATTTATACGACTAACCATTAACATGACGTCAAATTTGAATATTAATATACGTTTCTATCACGAAGCCAATTTTTTCTTTTAAAATCTTTGGGTTTAATATTATTTAGACTTATAAAAATACGCGCGCGCCCGTGTGTGTTTGCGCATAAGGAATTCTGCTAGAAAAAATAACGAGTGCACGGCTCAAGGATAACAGACTATTCTGACTATAGAAAAATGTTTATTAGTATCTTTAGAAGTGATCATAGTCTCGGGTAAAACGTATAATATTCGCAATTTTCGGAGTTTTGATCTGCGGTCGACGTGTTATGCATATTATTTGTTATTATAGTTATTGTAAATATTATTGCGGATTGTGATATTGTCACTTGTATCCTCTGTCGGTTTATTGGCAGGTGGACTCGGATTCGCGTAAAAAAATCATAATAAAACCGCAATAACATTATAATATATGGTATACCGTCGCGTTCGGTTTGACCGGTTTTCGACGAGATCGTCACGATTTTCCTGCACAAAGAGACGCAATATTTTAGACGCGTTTATAATATTAAGAGGTGACGTAATATACTATCTTCGCGTAAATTTTATTCATTGAGATTTTTCCACCGTGTACCGCGGAGTTAAATCGATGTAAAATACGGTTCGACGTTACTATTACCGACGTACTATAGCTGGTACGTAGGTTTCGGACGAATTCTTCGATTTTTGGTCGAAGAGAGCAAATAATAAAATAGTAAGTATATTCTATAAATTGTATACCGATCACGTGTAGATAAATAAATCGATAAAATAACATATATAATCGGAACGAGAAACCGTAAAAGATGTAAAATGTATACACTCACCTCCTCCCAAGTTAAACATGTTGGATGTGAATTCGGTTAGCCGCGCGAGTACAGTAAAATAATATATAATTAATGTATTTAATGATTAGTTTTTTAAATATAGTGCGCGTGTTGTTGCGACGACGGTACGCTCGGCAATGTCCGTCCAAATATAACAGACTCGAAGTTAAATATCCGGGGCCGCTGGCGGGTGTTCTCTCGTGACCTTGGTTACTCGAGCGCGCGCCGCCGCCGCCACCGCCGCCTCCGTTACCGCCGCCATTGCGCCGCCAAAACACAAAATCGATAAATCGCCGCCTCGTACCTACATAATACTATTTTGTGCGTGCACATCTAAAACACACACGGCTCACACGTAGATGATATTATCATATATTCTTCGGTTCGTTATTTGGGGGGTGTGTCGTCTGCATTCTGCAGCGCTGCAGCTGCGATCCTAATGGATAAGTGCAATCATATATTATAATACAGGAGAGGTTAACATTTGGTTTATTGTATTAAGCGATATTCTGTTTTATTGAAAGTTCTTCTTTGTCGAGACACGCGGTTATACGGTCGAGTGTTCCACCGTGTTATACAGTATATAGGTATAAGGTATACCTTGTAACCACATTTAACAATCATATTATAATATTATATATTTGTATAAGTACAATATTATCGAGAGCTATATATCAAATACAACGACCAATTAAGCAAATATAAATAAATTTGCTACTACGGAAATACGAATGTGCATTTTATACCAACTTATACAATTATTATAATGTTAAGTAGGTACAGTATGTCTTGAAAAATATTTTTTTTATTCTGTCTTCACTCTGGACTGTTAATAGTAAATTATTTTTAATTTTTGTTTAGTTGAAGAGAGCTGGTTGGGAGCTTTAACTGTTTACTTGAATTAATTATTTAATGGGACTTTATCCACCCTTCCCCAGAATTTCTACCATAATTGTGCCAATAATCAGTTCTCTAATTGTAAAATTAATGAATGTGGACTGTGATACTTGAAAGGGTTAAACTCAACTTAACTTGTTATTGGCCACACACCCCAACCAACAATTATTAAAAAAATAATAAAAATAAACCTATACGATTATGCCAGTAAGTGGCAGTAACAACTAAACTTATGAATTATAAACGATTAAAATGAATATATATGAAAAATAATTTAAATTTATTAGTTGAATATTCATTTATATTTATTAAATTACAATTAAACTAAATTCTGTATATTCTGTTCACAGTTCACTATTATGTTGTAATGCAGTTGCAGTATCATAATAGAAATAAGTTGTGATCATATTCAGTAAAATTGAATGGAATAAAAATTACAAAAATAATGTATATGTTAAAAAAAATATTTTGGAAAAAAGGACGTCCTCCCGTTCTATATTGAAAATAATTAGTAGGGGTGCTTTCAATATATATATAATAGTAAATTATATTATGCTATTATGGTATATAACATTATAACCTATTATAAAAAGAAAAATTAGTAGAGTAGGGAGCCATCCGCCCTGCCACTCGCATCGATTCAAGCACTGCCAATGATCGAGGTATGATATGTATATATTGTATTCATGGGTTATACTCTATTTCATCTGCTAAGATAATAAAAATCGACACCTCCAAGCTATTGTTACAGGTGTCGCCGATTGCCAGTTCAATAATATTAATTTTAATCATATTAGCGTCGACAGATTATATATATTATATATATATTAGGTATATTTTTTTACCAGCTGCGAGTATCGTTTTCATAATCATAAAAATATCGTCGTTGTTGTTCTTTTGTTCAAAACGATGATTCCACTAGATATTATTATTATATGTGTATTCCAGACGAACGAGGTCGTCATCGATATACTATACATCTATTATATATAAATACACACGGTCACCTGCGTCGTAGATTGACCGTTCGGCGGACCTACTGTTATCCAATACTCTTAGGTGTACATATTATATATCTACGCGTGCAGAATTACGAAGGTAGTGAAACACCTACACCACGACTTGACGGGGAAAATATTTTTAAATATACATAATACGCATAATCTGTACCTATATGAGAATATATATACGCGTGTTGTGTCTTGTGTGCATAATAATTATGACGCAATGTGTAGGTATATGCACATTATACAGTATATATAGGTACATCCATAACCCGTGCGTACCCAGTGGTGTGCTGACTAGTGAGTGATGGTATTTTTACTACACTGGCAAAACAAAATATTAATTTATACAGTTATTACCTATCATATTATCATTTATCAAGTATTCAAGTACCAAGTAAACACAACTATACAATTTTCATGCCAATATTATACGCCATAATATAATATAAATTCTGTATAATAAATTATAGTAAATAAAAAAGATAGCCCCCCAAGTTTTTATCAATACCCTGGGATATTGCATATGCTTTAGCCCTAACTATATGCTAACCATACCAGTATGCACTTTGGCCTTTGCCACTGTATTCACGACTGTATATGCAAGTATTGAGTATATACCTATTGTCATTGAACAATCGGTAAGTAACTGTAATGGAAGTGTTAAATTCAGTTATAACTAAATTAAATTAGTAATGATTTATTGGCTGAAAAATTATTGAAACATTTCACAATTGTATTTGAACATTGATAAATGATATTTGATAATACAATTATTATTTCAATTATAGTTAAAAATATAATATGTAGGTATAACCTAACCTAATATAGATTTTATGATTTTTAATTTTTTGTTTTTGAGATGAGATAATAACGAGCATAAATATTTGTTCAAACTGAATAAAGTATCTTTAAAATGAATGGTTCTATAATTCTATGTTTAAATACATCACGTTTGTACTTTTTGTATTAAAAAAAAATATTTAAACAAAAAAATATACATATTATTTATACATATTTAATGTATAAATATTGAATGTAGTAATGTACTTATTATCCCAACAAAAACATTCCGCCATACTCCGTGAAAAAAAAAATTGTAAGTATAAAAAAAACGGCTCTAAAAGTTGTGATAGTACTTTATACTTTATAGGTAGCTACTAACAGTACTAAGTCTTTGAACTACTATATTATCATTTATGTTAAGATAATCTGCTAAAAAATTGATAATAAAATCAATCCAAGTTCAATTGTTTAGTAGATTATTTTAAGATAAATGATTTATATATTTCTATAGCATAAACATGCGTACCTATACCCTTGCGTAATCTGTAAATCCAAGAAAGGGTGAACTTATATCCCCTTAAACATAAAAAAATCAATATTATTAATTTAAAAATCTTGTTTTCAAAAATGGCCTCGGAAATAGATATTGAAGAAGTTTTAGATGAGTTAAAAACCCATATACAGGTAAAACGTATACCAAAGCTTTAGTCAATAAATATTTTTTTTATAAAAACTGAAAAGTAATAACAAAATGTTTGATAGTTCAATGACAATAAATTATAATTTTTTTTAAACCTTATATATTTTTCATAATTTTGGAAAAAAGTTAAAGTTTCAGAAGAAAAAATGAAGACAGTAATTTTACGTAGGTATTTGTTTTTCAAATATTATACATGGAAAAACACTTCTAGTGTCGGTGACGTGTTCAGGGTAGGGAGGGGGTTACAACCGTGATTGCCTAACTATGAATATCAGCATATTATATCAAAATGTAAGTTGTTGATTTCAATCGATGAAAAATAAATAATAATACTAGGTTTATTACGAAAAACATAAAACTTATATTAAGTAACAATATTGACCTTTTTGTAAGAAATAAATAACTATAAAATAGTTATTTATATTATAATATATACAAATTACTAATATATTTAAATATACATCGGTCAATAAGCATATTTTCATTAAATCTGAAACCCGCACTGGCCAGTGGCCTCTAGAGCATATTTTTATCTGATTTATTTTATCACATTACTGTTATCATTTATCACGGATTAGTTAAAACAAGAATGATGGATGTATACTTGATTAATTTATATTACATAATACCATAAACTTTATGGTACGATCTTTAACTTATCGTGTTACACTTTTATTTTTTTTTGCGTGTGTTTGGAATCACTGGAAGAGGGGGGGGCACTATAACCCTGTGAGCCATCCTCCAAGGCTTCAACATCGAATTACTTATTAGTTATTAGTAAAGTTATTCCTACTGATTCAAAATTCGTGATTTCTAATTATTTAGTAGGTATTTACAACAAATGTATTATTATTTAGTATAGTAAGGTCAAATGTTCTTCGCCCCTAAGGCCCTGGCCCTGACAGTCAATATTATATTGAGCTGGGCCGGTGAGCTTACCACACTAGCACACCTGCAGCCTGCAGGCCATTTCACCCTTGGGTATAGTTTAAGAGTTTAGCCTATAAGTTAAAGGTAACCTTTAACTGAATAACCTAAAAAAAATTCTGGATTCACCACTGTCTAGGCGACTAGCGTGTTAACTTATTAAATGTAAGTAATGCTAAATTAATCAGAAGAATGTATATATACTTGTTAATTTAAATAAAACAATATGATAGTCATATGAGTGTCTACGGTGGCAGCCTAGGGTGTCTGGGCTGCCCCTGCAATTTTTGAAAGGTGCCGGTTAACCGAGTTAAACGTTAGAGGGTTATAACATTTTTCTTTTTTTAAAAACTTGATTTTTTTTGTGGGTATTGTTGTAATTACCATTTAATTACAAAGATCGATTTCCTGACTTCCGAAATCGGAAAAACCTACTATAAAGACTTGAGACAGACGACGACGGTATAGTACTCATCTAGGCATTATTGATATTATTGTTGTATTATTTTTGATTTGTAGCTAGATGGTGTAGGTAATCCAAGGCTGTAGATGAATAATATTTCCGAAGTTACTGCAGAAAATTACTGTAAATAGATAATTTAGACTTTTTTTAAATTATGTAAATGTTTTGTTTTGGAGGGGGGGCTTAAAAAAATACGGCTTTGAGTGTATAGCCGTATAGGGCTTTTTTCAGTTCACTAATAA